AGTTGTAAGCTATTTTTTCCATAGACTGAAACACAGGTATAAATACCTTTTACCAATTTAGATCTGGTTTTCTATTTCACAGTAGCTACGTTTTAAATAAGATAATTCTTTTATAGATCTGTGAGAATCAGTTTATGCAGAAGACTTTAGATATCACTAACAATGTGTTCAAAATAAGTTCACTATTCCCGATCTCCAGATCTCTCAAATTTGTGGAAAACAAATAACTTATCACGGAATTATTTTTTGAATTGCTGCTTCGGGTGATGTGTTAGTTGGAGTTTCTTATTGAGTCTATGAATTTTTAGTTTTGCTCTCACTTTATAGTTAGAGTGCCATATTCCTTCCCTACACATTTCATAGGGTATTTTACTACTCCCCACCATTGAAACCTAAATGCTTCATCTAACTGGTTTTCATATTCTGCAGCTGTTGTTTAAAATGTGCTTAAAATGATAGTTTTAAAATATGTCATTGTTTTCTTTATTTCTCTCCCTATAGACAAATATTTTGTGTATTTCCTGATCTTTATAATAACTCCATAGGGTGATTTAATAATCGTTTGTTTGTTCACTAGCGCAGTATTCCAAAAATTGTCAAATTAATCTAAATGATCGATACATTTCTAATTAGTTAATTTTTATTGGAATCAGAGTACCATCCAGCTTAAGAAGCATCATTGTAAACTTGGTCAAACAAATCTTATTGTTAAATGAAACAATACCGCTCTCGATTTTTAACTTACGTTTCTACAACTAAATCCAGTAGTTTGACTGTTAATCTTTGTATTAAAGATAAACCCTGGATATTTTCTTCCAAGACTTTTCATAGACGAGTGAAGAAGTGAGCTATTGTCCTTTGTCTCATCAATCGAAAGAAATTTATGTCCGTTTGATTTGTAATAAATGTAAGGAGAAAAAAGTTGGAAGAGAAACAGTAATTTTTATAATAATTCATCTTTTTTGAAAGGGTGTTTTCCATCCCGCCAAAGATCATCATTTAATTAATGTATGTGCCTTAAGGGCTATCTCTTTTATTATTTTCACTTGTATGTGTGTCAATCATCAATCCGTAATGAGTTTGTGGATAAATACATCTCACAAAAGCATTCACATGATTAACACAAGACTTCATGCTTAGAGACCAAGTGATTTGTGATAAAAAATGTTCCGCTTTCTCTATTTAATATTTTCCAAAGAGTTGAACACTTTGATCGGTTTTACGGATATTCAAGTTTGATGTCGTTGTTGTATGAAGTATATCTCTTTGCTTAGTGAGGATTTGACAAAAATTACACTATTATTTATTCTCTGAAGAAGTAGCTTACACCAAGTCACAAAACGTCAGAAAATCTAATTTTTCTACTCATTAGGATATTACAAATATACTAATTTATTTATAAAAATCTACCCAATGGTCAGTTTATTCGAAATTATCAAGTCAAACTTTGGTATTGATATCTATATTCTTCATTGTATTTGTGAAACTGGTCAGTATTACTACTTTTAGTGGTTATTGATTTACTAAAAAAATTGAGAGTTTATAAAGAGATCAATAAAGTATATGAGTGAGTTACTAGAGGGCTATCCTTCGTAATTTACTTACACTGAAGGAGAAAATTTTAAAAGTCAATAGGAAATGCATGTTTGATTATGTAAATGTTCAAACTAAAATATTATCATGTACATACTATTTAAAAATTCGTAATAATTCATAGTTATCACATCAGTTTATCAACCATTTTAATCAATAATCAGAAGAAACACAGGATTTTTCTATACAGTTTAGACTGATAGTCACAAAAGATATTGAAATATATATATATATATAACTGTCTCCAAAACGATTTCGCTTGACTGGTTTTTTGTAAAGAGAGAGACAGAAAAGGAGAGGGGACTATCAATAGAAGTAATATAACATCAATGCAATTTTCTTTTCTTAATTCACTTATTTTTTTCTCACCAACTGTTCATTATTGTTAAAGCATACGAAAAGCAATAAATGATATGCATTTTTGTCGCGTTGTCAAAACCTTACGTAATCGATTAAAAATCAACAATCAAACTAAATTGACAACAGTATCAAAAATAATCTTTAGTCTATTAAAATGAATGTTAAGTCGGTTTTCGAAGAACTTCAATGGAGCCTCCAGAGGTTCAAAAGGAGCCGAAGAGTCCTAGCCAATCAGAGCATGATGGAGCATTCTAGAATTCCAACGTGGCGCGCTACTATTGTTCAGTAGTATAATATGTCGCCAACGGTTTGGTCGAAATATGATGTTGATTTAACAAATGATAACATCTATAAATGCCCATGTTTTCTGTACAAAAAACGAACCTTGAAGTAAAGTGTTTCTCTCATACTTTGCGTCTTCTTTCTGATGTTCAGGTCGCTGTATAGTTCTAGCGTGCGGAGTATCAGAATAGCTTAGGAACGAATATAGCGTCCAATCAGCAAGACATAACAATGAAATCATCTATTCATAAAATAATTGAATAAATATTCTAATAAAAATAAAATAAGAATAGAAATGAAAGTTTTTGACAAAGGAGAGAATTTTATTTTCATGGAATTACATGGCCATTGATAAAATATCTGATTGAGATCATGAACCGATTGATATTAGACCATCATTGAAAACCTGGAAGCACTGGACAGCCGTTTCGTCCTATTATGGGACTCCTCAATAGTGAGCATCCACTATCCCGCTCGCGAAATTCAAATACCAACTAGCAGAATGAATAAATTTAAAAAAAGAAAACAACTATGATGTGATTTTACAATATCTAACTAAATTTTCAATGAAATAATAATAATAATAGTGATCAAAGTCCGTTTCAGTTCTATATGTATAACTTTGTTATTCAATAACATTTCAATTTCAAAAATGTAACATATTTGTTTTAATGAAATCATTTGAATATGATAATCATCATGTGTAAATCAGTGGTTAGTTTCAAAATAGTATTACAAACTTTACATGTCAAATTGCTATTGATGAAGTCATCTAAGTTAAAATTAGCTATTTCCCTTTACCTCTAATGATATCAGGTAGCCAATATATTACATACATGAATGAACAAATTTGGAAATGCAAGCTTTTAGATTCTAACTCAATAGTCTTAAAGTATTATGCTTGTTGCCAGATACGTATGTCTTATAGTATATAGTTATAGTTGTTCAATGTTGTGTAATCTCAAACCACTTACCCAGAACTCTATAAGTTTTAAATGATTCTATAGTTTATATTTGTCTGTTATAAAAGTTATTTTTGTATCAAGTAAAATGAGTATTATATTTTATTTACTGGTCAATTATGTTGGAATGATTTTTCACTCGTTAATAATTTACCATATCAGATATGTAAGGCTTTAAGCTGAAAAATTCTGAAGACATAGAAACAATAATAAAAACTGAAACTGCTTTGTAAAAAATGATTTCTAGCTTCATTTGAAATTTATAAATTGTTTTGGAAGTCCAGGCAATTAATAGATTCGCTGACAGAACATGTACTCCTATGAAGAGACTATATATATATATATATATATATATATATATATATATATGGGTGACGGCTTTAGATTTGTTCAAAAGCAAGGGAGCACTTGAATGAGCCATCAAATCAAATCTTTAATAGAATAATCTATCTTTACAAATGATACATTTACAGATACTAACCAAAGAATAATAACTGTGAATATACTCTAGTGCCCAGATTCTATGATGATCAAAGGATACATTGAAACTAACTAGGTAGATGTACTGCACTCGTTGTTGAATATTTTCAGTTTGTGATAAACCGTATATTTAAATCCTCCAGTTTGTAGTGTTATTTGAATTCTCACTCATTGTCCAGGAAAAATTCACTAATTGATTATTTTTTATTGCTGTTCTGAAGATGATAGATTCGTGTGGATAACCTGATTCAGTAAACATATATTTGTTGCAATGATTTATAAATCTGTTGCAAAAACTAAATAGAATTATTAGAAGAAAACTTTAGAATAAAACGTATTTAAACAGTAGTTTGATCAGTAGTTTGAAAGAGACAATGAATTATTGACAAATTGTATGACAAACACGTACTTTAGTTCCTTCTATTAATAACTACTTTTATATACAACGATGAACTTATTCAATCATGAAGTCTGATAATTTTTATTGGGTAGACAACAAGGGTTCTCTTATTGATTTTACAATTCTGTCAGTAACTAAAACAGATTAGTTTTTTCTTATCCTAATAGGATATAAAGATAGTGATGGAAGTACTAACAGATTACTGTGTGTTCATTTAATTTAGTCGGTTCAAATGATTATGCAGTGTATAACAGCTACATTCTGTTTGTTTAGCATTAATTCATTCATTAGGCAACAGAGGTGATTCTAGAAAAGTAACTCGTATGCCATTTTCTTGTATTAGTTTTTAAACGACAATATAAACGGTGTTTCAAATTGTAGGTCAGTGTTTGGAGCGTTCTCTCAATTTTATAATTTTTTAGCAAGTCCCAATCATGTTTTCCGTACAATCAAAAAGTGATGATAAATATTTGCTCAGTTGAAATAAAAATCCTTCGATAACAAAGAAGTAATTTTTTGTGTTAAATTATGACACTATTTTCAAATAAAATTTAACTCTTTATTGCCTACTGTTTGATAAACTAAAGTTCAATAGGTTTCCGTATCCACTAAAGTTTGGTAATAGATCTTCGTTATATTTTATTGGTTGTCAGTGTTCCACACATATTCATAGTATAATACAAGATAGTGATTCAGAACATCTTCTAGGCAGTTATTCAGCCTGAAATTTATTGGCTGTTCAATGTTACTCACTTTTTTTAGTTGCTATTTACGAATTTATGATTTTCTTCAAATTAATAAACTATACATCACTAACGCTGATTTATGGTATCTAATACTGTTACATGGTATTTTTCAATAAAAATTATGTGAATTATTATTGTGGTTATTTTTAAATGTTATCTTATTTATCTACACAACAGAAAAACTCTAATTCTTTAAGCAGATTGAAGAATTTTCAACCTGAATATAAAACGTTTCACAGAATTCAAAATAATAAATTCATTGAAAATCGACATTCATGGATAGAAACAAATCTAAATGCAGATGAGGATATATTGAATTCGAATCTAATTATCGGTGAAGCTATTGATAATCGAACTTGTATAAGAAAATATTCCAAATCTCTATCTCAAAAACATTTACATTCACCTGTCTTGTTACATATGACACCAGTATCATCCCTACCAACAACACTAACAACGACATCTCAATATCAACATGGATCAAGTTCTTCTGATGCCGGAATTTCAAGTCAAACAACTGAAGAGACGGACGAAATCATACAGTATAGCTGGTTTACGCCAAAAATAAATAATTATGATATTATTAGCACTCATTCACCCAATCCTATTAACAATTTTGTCAGTAACAATGATGATAATGATTGTCCACAGGAAGTATTAAACAATAATCATCAAATTGAAAAAGTAAATGATAATAGTTTCCAAAAAATCATCAAACATTTTTGTCCTCAACATGGTCAAGTAATAATACCAGAGTGTTTTTATAACCCCTTATTATCAGTCATTGAAGAAATTGAACCAGGTCAATACGATGACCAACGAACACATGAATTCACACTACAAAATAATGAAGTAATTCCACAAAGTGGACAGAAAAAAAATAATTCATTGAATATAAGGAATGTTAGATTGCCACCATCAACAAATGTAACTTATGCATCATCGTTCACTAGTCATATTATTTTTAACAAGTTAAGTGATCTAGATAAAGATAACGATTTATTATCTGAAACATGTAAGCAAAACAATACTTTATCACAGTCTCGATCAAATGACCAAAAGCAACAACAGCAACATAAAGAGTCACTGAATCGGCGGAACAGTAATTCATGGTCAAATGAAACCTGTAAACGCTTTCCTGAACAGAAAGCAATAAAGCTTAACATGATTTTATGTGCGATAACTATAGCCATGTGGTCACCATTTATTACTGCATCTCTTAGTCATTTGCTGTTGAGTAACTCGAATTATTTTCATCTATTGTCCATTGGAACTTTGATACATTTTAAATGGTTAGCTTACATGAGTTCTGTAGTTTATCCTGTTGGATTTTTACTGGTTGATTCACAGTTATGCAGAGCTACATTTTCACAAATATATTGTCGTAAATTCTGAAAACGTTGCTAACATTTCCAACCTACTTTGAAACATTTCAGTAGTATCCTCTATAATAAAGAACAATTCATGGACTGGAAATGTTGGAATCAGTCTAGGCTATGGAGGTTACAGTAAGATTTCACAACCGGTACTTTATAGGTTCACGAAATGCGGCACTTCAACAATATTGCATCACAAATCGTGTATTTTATGAATATACAAGTGTCTGCTTAATCCCTTTACATTTATTCCGACATGATAAGAGAAACTGTTAACCGCTTCAGATACATTTGCTTGCCTACATTATTTAACTTCCACATACAGCTAACCTGATTGTAAAATGAAGAAAGCTTTGGGATGATATAACTATAACTAATAATAGTTGATGAAAACATTGTTGAAAAATTAAGATAAACAACAAAATGTCATGAAAAATACATCACACTATCTCTCGTTCCCATGTTGTTTATTTACAGCATATATTTAAACGAAGGTTTATTACAGCATCAAATGAATTATCTTCTTTAAATGGTTCAATCTGCATGCGGTCCAAGAAGCATCATCTCTAATAGTATTTTATTTCTTTTTGATAAATTCGGTAAAATGACTATTACTCTACTTGATAGTCTTAATATATTTTGTTCACTTTTACTTTCTATTGTCAATAGAATCTAACTCTCTGTTGTCTCATTTACTTTTTTTGGTGGGGTTGGTTTGTGGCTTTCTGGTATTTTATATGAATAGTGTGAAGACGGGAAAACTAAAGGAGAATGACTCGCTTATTTTTACGGGGTTCGACTGTACAATTTATAAGCCTTTGAGGTTAGAAAGCTTTGACCAGCTGACTAATTTTGCGTGAGTTATGGTCTGAATACTATGATACCTGAATAAATGCTTAATCACATCTGCTGATCGCTAAGTTTTAACAAATATTACGGGATAAGACATGATGTTAACCTCTGTCTGTAGCTGAAATTTACCAGTAATGTTTAGTTGAGGAAACATCGGGGTTTCTTTCAGAAGACTTTTAATCCTATCAGAATCCTACATTTAGTTATTGATGTCTTAGCAAATGTAGTAAATTGCAATAAAATGGTACCACTAGAAGCACTTTCACTATATCTTTGACTGATTTACTCGTTAAGTTGAAACGATAATTTTTTAAATTTTATAGTTCAAAGATATGTAAAAAAAACTACTAAACATCTGCAACCAAGTGATGGGGAAAATTAGATTGATGTTTCAGGTGCGACCATCCTTACATGTTTGGCCTGTTCATTACCACAGTTGGATCCTGATATGATCTGCGATCTAAATAGGTCTTTAATTTACTCCTTTAACTCTTGGACAACCCAGTCCAAGAGAAAAAGGACAAAAGGCATAGACAGCTGAGAATTGTAAATAAGACTACTTATATCATGTGCAAAGATGGGTATATTGGATAACTCATATAAAGCACAACTGGAAGATAAACCTTGACAAGGTAAATAAACTTATTAGTACTTGGATCTCATTATCAATGGTTAGTTTTTTATTTGATTAAAAATAAATCTCGGTAACTCAAATAACCTAGTAAATCTTATCCGATATGATTAAAGAATCATCTTGGTCAAAATCCCGTCCTAGTAATATAAGAGAGCAAAAGGTTTTATTTTCAAAACGGTAATGATAATTGTAATAATTGTATTATTTTTTATACGCAGATACATATAAAAGAGTAACACTTACAAACACCAACATTCTTCATCATAAGGCTTAATATAAAAACGATATGAAACTTAAGGTTATATGAGATAGTGGATAAACAAAATGTGATACGAAATCGCAGTTAATAGATGTTAAACTTTGGTCACAATGTGGACGCTAGTGTTCGATACTGAACAGATTCACTCAGCTAACAATTTGGCAGGAAATATTTAATATAACGTGCATTTAACTTTTCCCGTAATAACTTTATTGCTTATGTTATTGGCAGTAGTTTATTTGTTGACTTATCGCTTTCCAAAGTTTTTAAAACCCATAATGTGTTATCCCGGATTCCGCATTCGTATCCCTGCACAGCATCCAGGGGCACCGTCACAGCAATGTGAAGGTGTTCGAGTATAGCAAAAATATATTAAACTAATACGTTCTTGTGTCCATATTGTGTATCGCGAGTTGGCTACTCTAAATTCTACCGATTGACAAGCTTCAGATATCCCAGTTCGACCCCAATACTGTTCCCAATCTCCAGTATATCAGAACACGAACCGTAGATGAAAAATCGTTTATGGGGTCAGGAGCAGCAGAATAATGATTTACAAACAAATGCATATTTATACAGTTAGGATTACTATAAATATTGACCAACAGAAAGATGACACGTTAAATAATATTGACCAATAGGAAAATGACACACGAAATAAATATTGATCAGTAGGGAAACGAGCAATAGGGAAATGACACCATTTAACGTTCAAGGGTAGCGTTAGACTTAACCGGATAACTGTTTTTGGGATATTTTTCTGAGTATCCCAACAGTCCAAGTCATCCATTATAAGCTAAAATTAGATCAGACGGAATTCGAGGATATAACCCTCAGGTTCTACTTACTAGTAATATCAAGGTGTGGTCAGAAGACTATATTAGGGAGGCCGTTCAACATCCATTGATTTATCTGACTCTGAAATACAAAATTCGAGATCATTGTGCATTCACAAATCGCCCAGACACTTCTAACACATCTTTTGTTAAAGGGAATTAAACAAAATGTTTATTATGATGATCTGCAAGACTGTATATTTTTAACAACTAGGAAATTTAAAGACAATAGCCAAATTATCAAAGCACCACAGCACCCAAAATACGCAAAAAGCTAATCAGTTTTCAGTGGAATGGCTAAAAAACAAAACGCACATTCATCAAATGTTATTACTATACGTTCACAGGTACATAAGGCAAAGCCTTTGTGATTTCATTAGTTCATTTCTGAAAATCTTCAATCTCAATTTCCTGCGTAAATCAAGATCACATTATTAATTTGGTGTGGCTAGTTGTTTGCATTCATCTGTGGTTACTTCTCTTGTTTCTTGGAGACGTGATACTACCACATTTCCTAAAGAACATTTTTTCTCACCGTTTTAAGTTCTTAAAATATACTTTTGACTATAACCTGATTGTTTTACGGTTCACTGATGCACATACTGTCAAATAATCGTATGGTTATTCTACGAATACTTTCTGAGTTCGCATTTTTCAAAGTAACTGCACTTTGCTTAAGAAATGCTAAGAAAGGATAGAATGGCTAGATCAGGTTTTCTAACAAGCGGTTTTTGTTCAATATGATTCCTGTTTTAATTCACAAGAGGTACAGCTCAGCGAAATATTTGTTTTCTTATGGAAACACCTGAATTTTTTATGTGTGGAGTTCACTCAGGGTAATATTTTTCATGTGCTTTATACACTTCCTGAAATTCACTCGGCGTCTCATGTAACATGGACTTCTTGTAGTAGTTTAGATGTTTTCAGCCAAGAAATTCTTATCTCTAACTTATCCGTATTACTTCAAACTGTCACTCATCTAAAATATCGTGTTTTCGTTTGCACCCCCACCCACCGATGTGGTAATGACTAAGTCCTGACACGAAGTGTTGTCAAATGAGATTTATTTCAAACAAGCTTATTCGGCAGTCAAAAGCGTTTGGACTGACTACGGGAGTGAATTGTGTATGAACGAATAACAGTATATAAGATATATGTCATAAATGAAGTATCCTTTTGTGACCCTATATCTGACACCGAATTGATCGTTTGCTGCTTGTTATCGAAATATACATATCGTTAATCTTCGTATATAATCATCGACTTAAATCGCGTTCCTGAATAACGGAATTAACCAATCAAAATACAGGAATGGATTTTTGGATACCTATATTTCATACAACCTTTGATCCGAAAGCAAAGAAAAACCAAGTGACGCAATGTAGAAAGCGAGCGAATCAATTCACTTTAGCCACGTGTGAATCAATATTTATGATCATACCAGAAATAACTTACAGAACTGTGATGAGTAAGGTAGGTAATTGGCACATAAACGGTCAAATAGAAAACAATCACGACGAATAACTGACACGGCAAAAACGTGGCTCGAGAAGAATCTGCCCAGAGGCTAGAATAACCTATGTGAACATGACATGGTAACCGCCCTCACAATCCATCTTCAATTTGACGAAGCAATTAGACGATAATACATGGACATTCACTCGAGTCTATGTGTACAGGGACGAAAATCCATAGTTGTTTGCAAGAGAGTGTAAAAACTAACTGATGGAATAATAATTATACAGCAAACAACAAAGCATTTGCTTAGTAACGTTTTTACCATTGCTGAGAACACAAGAGTACGGTATAATGGAAAAATAGTGGAATGACTAATGTGTTTAAAAAGTAGCGCAACGTTCCAGAGGTATTTTCGTGCATGTCAGCTGTGTGATATTTGTTAATTATTTATGAATTGTGTAAAAGGGTTATATAAGTGAAAGTATATTCAGTAAATGTCAACTTGTTTTGAGGGGAGAGGCGGGAATAAATCTATGTTTGTACTAACATTACGTCCCCAATTACGTCGTGGAAATAGCAGTGGTTTTTGGTTCTGACTATCATAAGATAAAATGGCTGTTAGCTAGTTATCCAATGTCGGCCACATCAATTTGCTAGCTAACCTATAAGGCACATAAAGTAGCTTTATTTTGCGTATTGTTAGATGCATGTTTGACATTTTAGTTTATGCTGTTACTGTTTATGTGTACTATGGACTATTTAGGATGTTCTAACTCACTTGATTTCATTTTTGATTTGTTTGTGCTCATTATTTAAATTCGTACTTCGTTTGAAAATACAATTAACAGTTTCTGGTGATACCAAAACCTAAACTTTTGTTACTGCATACTGTATATTTGTCTAACTTGAAGATGCCACAGCTATTCTGAGTTTGACAACGCTTTGACCAGTAACACCTAATATGAAGCGTACCCACCAAGTGAAATGAAAAGACATAAGGGAGGGGGTTCGAAGATATATTTGATAGGCTATCAATATATCGAGGATCGTCTGATCTAATCTGGCTAGCGATTGCAGGGAATGTTGAGCACAGCGTTCCCACTCGTGATCTTGTGCGGATGCATGACCGAGCGTCTTCAGCTAGGTGAGTCCATTGAAACTAATGTGGTCAGCATCCAATGTTGAAAACTTACAGAGCTATTTATTTTGGAAATTTAGTTATCGCTACAAACTAAACAGGTCCATGTGCTAAGGGATTGTTATATTACGTTCGGAGTCAGATATGGTAGTACGATTTCAATACATTACCTCTTAAAGTATACCTTGGATGTGAATTTGTATTAAAGTTGCGGTCCGACTAACTATTTTATGTTTTGTCAAAGTGTACAGTGAAGATAATAGTAATAAAATACAATACCACAGAGCCTACTTCAAATCTGAATTCTCAAATGCTCTGCGGATGCCACAAGTTTTCGGGATTCGACAACTCCTTTACATGCAACACCTGTGTAATCGAAGTATGACGACCTGGTCAGATCAGAAGTCAGAAACAAGGAGGTTCAAAGATATATTTGACAAGCTGTCGATATCTCGATAAGTGTTTGATCTAATCCAGCTAACGATCGTAGCAAATGTGTTGCACAGTATGT